TTCATATTTTTTATCTTCTTTTTCTTAGATAGTTCCTTTAACATTTCATATAATAAGGGCTTGATGATGATGAACTCCTTTAACTTGACCTTATCTGGGAAACACTTTATCTGTCCTTCCATTTTAAATGATAGCTTTCTGGATAGGGTAATCTTGGATGTAGGTCCTTGCCTTTCATGACATGGAATACTTCTTTCTGGCCCCTTCTTGCCTGTAAGTTTTCTTTTGGGAAATCAGCTGATAGTCTAATGGGAACTCCTTTGTAGGTAACTCTCTCCTTTTCTCTTATTGCTTTTAAGATTCTCTCCTTATCTTTACTCTTGGGTAATGCAATTATGATGTGCCTTGGTGTGTGCCTCTTTGGGTTCCATTTCTTTGGGATCCTATGAATTTCCTGGACTTGTATGTCTATTTCCTTCACCAGATTGGGGAAGTTTTCCTTCATTATTTTTGCAAATGAGTTTTCAATTTCTTGCACTTATTCTTCTCATTTTGGCACCCCTATAATTTGGATGTTGGAATGTTTAAAGTTGTCCCAGAGGTTCCTAAGCCTCTCCTCATTTTTTTGAATTCTTATTTCTTCATTCTATTCTGGTTGTTTATTTCTTCCTTCTGTTCCAAATTGTTGGTTTCAGTCCTGGTTTCATTCCCTTCACTGTTAGTTCCCTGTTTATTTTTCTTTATTTCACTTTGTACAGTCTTCACTTCTTCATTTATTTTGCTGCTGCACTCAACCATTTCTGTGAGCATACTGATGACCAGTGTTTTGGACTCTGCATCTAATAGGTTGGCTATATCCTCATTGCTTAGTTCTTTTTCTATTGTTTTGATCTGTTCTTTCATTTGGGTCATATTTCCTTATCTTGGCATACCTGTTATATTGTAAGGGGCAGAGCCTTAGGTATTCACCAGGGTGGGGCAACCCACTTTGCTGTGTTGTGGTGCTGTATGTGGGGGAGGGGTCAGAGAGGGCACAATGCTACTTGCTTGGCTTTTGCCCTACTTTCAGTCACTTCCCCTGTTACCCACAAGTGAATTGGGCCCTTCTGGTGCTGATTCCTGTGTGGGTGGGTTTGTATATCTTCTAGGATCCTAGGGGCCACTCCAATGGACTCTCCTGTGGGACTGGATTTCTCCTGCTGCCACAACCCCTACAGTTTTTTCAACCAGAAGTTTTAAGGTTTTATTTCCCTGTGCTGGAACCGTGGGTTGTGTGGTCTGTCCCATGCCCCAGTTGTTCCTCCCAGTTTTTCCGCACGAGAATGTGGGAGTGCCCTGTCTGTTAGTGGCAGCCTTGCTGTGTATCCTCTCTGCCTGGCTACCTGTCTCCTCCCCCTTAACGGTCTGGATGAATGTTTCTTTAACTTGTTGGTTGTCCAACTTACATACAGTTCGATTTTCTGGCAGTGCTGGTTGTTTTTTGTTTTTAAATTTGTTGTTGTCCTTCTTTTGGTTGTGCAAGGAGGCAAAGTCTATCTACCTACACCACCATCTTGTCCAGAACTTCCTTTTTTCCCCAAATTTTTGAAGGTAGAATAAGGATACACATTATACATGGTAGTACCAATTCTGTATCTATTAATATTTTTAATTTTTAATATATGCTTATGTGGTAAAAGTGTAACTCTAGAAACCATAATGATATCTGTATGGAAAATAATACCTGGGAACATGATAATTAGTTTTATTTCTAAATATAAATAAAAAATTGAATTAAAAAATTAAAATGAAAGTTTTTTTTCCCTGAAAGTTTGAGCCAAATGTGGGTGTACATTATACATGGCAAAATACAGTAAGTGACTTGGTTTCAAAATTGTTTTATTTTATTCAGTAAATTCTACTTTAAAATTTACATTTTGTTCTTTTCAAAGATATTTTATAATTGGGCAAGTATCACCTTTTCACTTTATTCTGATACTTCATTTCACATAATTGAGGTTTTCTTAAAAAGCCTGGGTATGTATTTTGATATTTTAAAACAAATATCACAATCCAGCAGCCATTTTTTAGAGCCTATCAAATGCCTGGAATTATGCCGGGTTGAGATTAGAGAAATAGATATAAGCTGTCCCTAGAGTTAAGATTACCTGAAATAACTTAATAGCTATGTGTATAATATAAAAATATTTACTTTTATTGAAGTGAAATTGAATTGAAATACATGCAAGGCAAATTTCCTTGCTTTCCATCTTTGCAGTGTGCAGCAAGGTCGGGTCTTATTGGGTCTCCCTCTCCCATCCCACCATTGCCCTGTGCGTAGTACCTCACTTAATCAATGTTTTATGGTCAGGTCTGTTCGTTTAAAAGTGGGAAGCTTTATAGGCTCTATCAGGTGCCTGTAAAGTTACAAGAATGTACTTTTCAGTGATGAAAGGGTCAAAGGGAACATTATGTAGAATCTCTACCTGTCATCTGCCCTAGCCTTTGTTTTGTAGATCACGCTTTTCAAGGCAGAGGCTGTTTTTACCAGCTCTTCCACACTATTCTCTATCAAGTCACCACAACCATGTAAGTGCCATTTAGAAGAGTTTAGGGTTTTGGCTTTCATAACTCTTGTATTGCCTCTCTGATGATCGCCTCTCAGGACCTGTATTTTTAATTTCTTACTGTTCTCCCAGGGGAAAAAATGCAAACGTGAAAAGTTTACTGAACACCCTTGGCTTACTTGCTTTCTTTTCTTAACTTAAAGTTTATATTGGTCTCCTAACTTTTGGATCTCAGAATTTCTGTGGCATATGCCAAAGGGCATATTTAGCCCCGGTGGGGAACACTTCAGGCAGGACCAGTGAGTGTGGCTAGCTGGGCAGAATGCTGACCAGCTGCGGGGACAGACCCTGATTTGTGATCACAAGTGCCTTAGTCTCAGGGCGGAGGCTATTTATAACAGCACTTATCGTTCTCTGTTTGTGAAATTTGAGCCTTGATGGTTTTAGATCATGCGGTTGAAGCAATTTAGTCCATTTTCATCTACAGCAGGCAGGGTGCTGACAGAGCAGCTCGGGAGACTCAGAAGTGAGTGCCTTCACGTAGAAGTCTTCTAACTTCTGCTCTCTGGAAACTGGTGGGATAGCAGGAAGACAGTCCCTCTTGGCACAGTTTCTTGGGGTTTGCAGCAAGTTAGAGCAAACAACACTCAGTTTGCTTTAGGTTCGGTTTTGAAACCATAGCTTTCAAAAACTGTTCAAATGAGAAAATGTAAGACAATATGCCTAGAAGTCCACTGAAGACCATAAAAGACCTGGTTGACTTGGGTCCAGCAAAATGGCATAGTGGGAGTCTTAGAAAACCAAGGAAGAGAGGGCACAGTGTTCTTCTCCAGATGCTGCTGCGGTCTTCCAGAGATGCTTCACTGGCACCTCCGCTCTTCTCAGCATTCTCCACAGGGAGAGAGTTTGATGTGACTGACAAGTTGTTTTTTTTTTTTTTAAATTCTTAATCACCAGATTGCAAACTGGCCCTTTGCCAGCCTAAGAACTCAGAATAATCTGAGAATCCCAGGGGCAGAGAAACTTTTCAGGAGTCTGGGCTCACTTCAGCTATTGGGCCATAAGCTGAGTGAGTGGTTGAGGGACGGGAGGAGATGAGTTATTTTTATTGATTTGCTTGCACTTTTGTTTTCTTCCTTAAGACATCTATTTTCATTTGAAAATAATATTTTAATAAAAAAACAGATGATGAAAAAATCAATTGACAAAATCATTAAGGGGAAATGAATTACTGGTATGTAATAATTCTGATGTTCTAGATAGGGGTAATATTCTACTGATATTTTCCAGGAAGTAAATTAGCTCATTTAGATGAAAAAAAAAAAGGGTCAAAATTATGCTAAATTACATATGGAGTTTTTAATCTGCTGTGCATTTGGAGTAAATTTTATCAGGAAGAATTGGAAGTACATGTTAACTTTTATTATCAGATATATTGCATCCTGTAAAGATGAGTGATCCTTGAACTTTGTGTAGGGCCTTTCACTGGTATAAATCTTAGGTTTGAAACTGTCTGACGTCCATGACCTCTTGCTTTGTGCTGTTCCATACAGTAGTTTCCGTTCCAATCATGCATTTCATCTGAGGGTAAATTCTGAGTCCCAGTGTCAGACCAGCTCCAGACAAAGTAGGGAAGATTCCATAAAATCACCACTTGAAAGCTCTAGGGCAACTACTTACTATTTAGAGCCAAAACTGGGGGTGGTTGAAGAAACTATTACATTTTAAATCACCTTTTATAAAACTATAAATTTTCTAATTTACTAACATGCTCTCCAACACTGGAGAAAACCCCATAAAACAAAACACTCACACATATTCTCTCATTAGGACATTGGTGGACTGTTTGTCCTACAAGCATCGGCCAAATCACTCTCATTTTTATCCACAGGGTCTAATTTTTCTTTTCTCATTGTTTTAGGACATTTGGGGCTCAAGGGTCACGACTCACTGGAGCAGGATGGGGAGGCTGCACAGTCTCACTGGTGCCTACTGACAAGCTGCCCAGCTTCCTAGCAAACGTGCACGAAGCTTATTACCAGAGGAGCGACCGAAGCCTAGCGCCGGGGAATCAGGAGTTGTTTGCTACCAAACCTGGAGGCGGGGCTTTGGTTTTCCTTGAGGCCTAAACAATGTAAAAAATCTTCGAGAAACTATTTAGGGCATTTAGGAACTGGCAGGACTTCTTATGCCGCAGTAAATTAATCCTTTCTGTTTTGTATTATGATGAACGGTTGCTATTATCAAGATGTGTTTCCAAAGAAATGGTTGAAAGCTCTCTATGTTTCATAATGATTATTTTTCCATCTTAAAATATGTTTTCTATCAATAAGAGCCAAAATTATGGTTGGACAGATCCCTTAAGGATGACTTATTGGGATTTATTCACTTCAAGATTTTTTTAAAGATGAACTGTAAAAGAAAATCCTGACCTCATGGATTGGACTTGAATTAAACACACTGTTACAATTAAACTGATACAATGGAATTGTATACAATATTCTTTAAATAGTTTATTTCTGATTTCTCTTTAGTGTTCTTCCTCATAGGTGGTCTTCTGTTGTTGATGCTGATGATGGTGATGCCAGAAAGTCTCTCTCAACTTGAACTTCATAACGCTATTAAAATAATACACTTTAGGGATTCACAAATTGTCCCAGACATCTTATACTTGAATGTGAGATTCTCCCAATTACCTGGATGAGAATTGCTTAATTTTTTTCAAAAGTGGATTTAGAAAGAGAATCCCAATCATTTAATTTTTTTAACCATGTGATATATGAACAATCATTTTCAATTCTTTGGGCCTTGAGTTCTATTACTTAACAGAGAAACTTTATCTCTCTTCACACTGAAATAGAGAATTATCTGGATGATAATTGAGATTGTTTGATTTGTTCATGGAGTTCACTTTTCCCCACTCTATCCTACGTTTTCTCAAATGCCTCCCTAATCCAAGGGAGTGCTCACTATTCTGGTCAACACCACCTTGCATCCCTTCACTGTGTCTAGCAAGGCTTATTCGCGTATGTGGACCAGTGTAGGGCCGGTGTGCAGGGGTGTGGGCGAGAGCAGGAAGAGGCTTAGAGCTGATTCTGGGATTGGTTAGGGGTGTTGGTGGCTATGTGTATGTGTTTACTAAAAGTGGGAAGAAATGCTTGGCCATGTGGTAATGGTAAATGAATGACTTTCTCTCATGGATAGAAGACAGGAGGGCCATCTCAATTCTATGGAGATTTAGACCAGAAAGCATCTTGGATAATTGAGACAATTATCAGATAACTGTAAAAGGATAATTGAGACAACCATGGTCTTATGGCATGAATTATCCAGAATATTGTGACAGTCTTCTTTTATTTTGTGATTGTTTTTGCTCACTAATGTGCAACTCAGAGGTTGGATGTCATCATCTGGTACCTCAGTTTCATAGAGGCTGATGTAGAGTTGGTTGTAATGGTTCTCAAAGGGCAACAGTCATTAGAGAGTACTGGGAAATCCGCTATTCTACTCCAAAGTGAACTTTGGTGTGTTTCCTTCTTAGCAGAAAGGTAAACACTTGAGGAAGCTTAAATCAAATTTCTTGAAAGAATTTTGAGTTTTTAAAACTCAGTAATCCAAAATCTGAATTGATTTAAAATGATAACCCTTTATTATTTATACCTTCCATTTTCCACAAAAGATGGATCTGTGGTTCCCTCTGTGGTTGTTATGCAATTCTTTAAGGATACCTGGATTACAGTTAATATCTCCAGCAGTAGTAGTTAAGAGATACCAACAAAAATGGGAGAAATAATTAATTAATATCTGTGGAAGTCAAGAATCATCCTATTTGTTTACTATTAAGAACCCAGATGTTTTACTCCTATCATACCTTTGTGGCTCATATAGCAGTTTGATTATATTATTTGATGCCTAGTTTTGACATTACTCAATAGCCAATGAGGATTGCTCTAGATTTTTAAGTGGAAGCCTAGCACACTGAAAATAAAAGGCTCTCTCCTACTCCTGACATCAGATTGTCTAAGCTTCAGATTTATTGCATGAGGGGGGACCTCCCACAAACGAATTTATTTATAAAAAATTTTGTATTTGTTCTTACATGTTTAAACTTCTGTCATGTTCAAAGTACTGCTAATTTGATGCAATACACCTATTGAAATGTTTCTTCCACTGCTCAAAACAGTTTTTGAGCTTGTCAATTTTGATGTCTTTTAGTACTTCTGCCATTTTTTGTTTCACCTCTTCCACATCAGCAAAATGTTTCCCTTTGAAGACATTTTTCATCCAGGAAAACAACAAAAGAAGTCACTCAGGGCAGGATAGGGTGAATAGGGAGGATGGGGCATAGGCATCAGGCTGTTTTTGGTCAAAAACTGCTGAACACTCAGTGCAGTATGGGCAGGTGCGCTTGTAAATCACCCATCATGAAATGGGCAAACATGTTGCAGGATTCTACAAAAAAAAATTCATTGAAGCTGAATGCAGCCTCTCACAACAACGCCAGCCGGTACACTGATACAGATGGGTTGCTAGAACACTCACCTAGCAGGGAAAGTCTGTACTACAAGAGGCTTGCCCTTCAGAAGGTAATTCTGTTTTGGGGGGGTCCCCCTCATACACTAATTTCTACATATTCTTGCCTGTTGGAAGAGAAGAAGGCCCTCAGCTTGAACAGGACTGCCCATAAGCTGAAGTGGAGAGAACACGGAGCACTGGAAAGATGGAGCAGTCTCTCTCCTCTTCTTTCTTTCTCACTCTCGAGCCCTGTTCAGAACCTTATCATTTCTGACTTATAATTCTGTTAATTGAGGGCAGGGATCATTCATCTGACACAGTGGTTGGAATCCAATATATTTTTGTGGAATTGTCAATGGAAAATATAAATATGAGTTTGAACACCACTAATTTTCTGTTAATTTAGAAGTCTGATTGCATTTGCAGGTTTTGAGTTGTATAAACTGTCCTTGGTCAGAAGCAAGGGATGGGGACAGTGGCATGAGGTTGCCATGAATACGTGAAACAGATTATGTTACATGTGAATATGGATGATTAAATAGTAAGAATCTATTCCATCCTGCCACTATAACTTGGATGTGAAACCCTATAATGTTTACTAAATATTGTCCAGTATATATAAGAGAATCTAGGGGGAAAATTCTCTTTAAAATTATTTTTAAAAAACAAAAACTGGGACTTCTGGCCAAGATAGAGATGTAGATAGATACACTGTGCCTCCTTGCACAATTGAAAGAAGGACAACAACAAAAATTTAAAAACAAAAACCAACCAGAGCTTACAGAAAATTGAACTGTATGGAATTCTGACAACCAAAGAGTTAAAGAAACATTCATCCAGACTGGTAGGACAGGCAGAATCGGGCAGTCAGGTGTAGAGGATGCCTGTGGCAAGGTGGTGGCTGGTGGACTGGGTGTTCCCACATTTGCGAGCAGATAAACCAGGAATAACAAATGGGGATCAAGACAGACCGCACAACCCAGGGTTCCAATGTGAGGAAATAAAGCCTCAAACCTCTGACTGAAATAATCTGTGGGGGTTGCGGTGGTGGGAGAAACTCCCAGCCTCACAGGAGAGTTCCTTGGAGAAACCCACAGGGTCCTAGAATGTACACAAGCCCACCCACTTGGGAATCAGCACCAGAAGGGCCCAATTTGCTTGTGGGTAGTCGGGGAAGTGACTGACAGCCTGTGAAAGTTGAGCAAGCAGCATTGTTCCCTCTCTGACCCCTCCCTTGTATACAGTGTCACAATGCAGTGACATGGTTTGCCCTGCCTTGGTGAACACCTAAGGCTGTAGCCTTACTACGTAACAGGTGTGCCAAGACCCCCCCCCCCCAAAAGGCCCAAATGAAAGAACAAATCAAAGCTCCACAAAAAAAAAAAACACAACTAAGCAATGAAGAGATAGCCAAACTGTCAGATGCAGAGTTTAAAACACTGGTAATCAGGATGCCCACAGAAGTGGTTGAGTATGGTTGCAAAATAGAGGAAAAAGTAAAGGCTATGAAAAGTGAAATAAAGGACAATGTACAGGGAACCAATAATAATGGGAAGGAAAATGGGAATCAAATCAACAGTTTGGAGCAGGAGGAAAAAATAAGAATTCAAAAAAAATGATGAGAGGCTTAGGAACCTCTGGGATGACTTTAAACATTCTAACATCCGAATCATAGGGGTGTCAGAAGGAGAAAAAGAAGAGCATGAAATTGTAAACTTATTTGAAAACATAATGGAGAACTTCCCCAAACTGGCCAGGAAGTCCAGGAAGCTCAGAGAGTCCCAAAGAGGTTGGACACAAGGAAGCACACACCAAGGCATATCATAATTACATTACCCAAGATTAAAGAGAAGGAGAGAATCTTAAGAGCAGCAAGAGAAAGGGAGACAGTTGCCTACAAAGGAGTTCCCATCAGACTGTCAGCTGATTTCTCAAAAGAGACCTTACAAGCAAGAAGGGGCTGGAAAGAAGTATTCCAAGTCATGAAAGGCAAGGGCATACATCCAAGATTACTCTATCCAGAAATGCTTTCATTTAGAATGGAAAGGCAGATAAAGTGTTTCCCAGATAAGGTCAAGTTAAAGGAGTTCATCATCATGAAGCCCTTATTATATGAAATGTTAAAGGGACTTATCTAAAAAAAAGAAGAATATAAAAAATATGAACAGAAAAATGACAACAAACTCAAAAGTATCAACAAGCGAACCTAAAAAACAAAAACAAAAAGCAAATAACTAGAACAGGAACAGAATCACAGAAATGGAGATCACATGGAGGGTTATCAGCAGAGAGGGGAAGTGGGGAGAATGGGGGAAAAGGTACAGGGGATAAGAAGCATAATTGGTAGGTAAAATATAGACAGGGGAGGTTAAGAATAGTATAGGAAAGGGAAAAGCTGAAGAACTTATATGTACAACCCGTGGACATGAACTAAGGGAGGGGAATGCTGGTGGGAAAGAGGGGGTAGAGGGGAGAAAAAATAGGACACTTGTAATAGCACAATCAATAAAATATACTTAAAAATAAAAATAAACCCCAAACTTACCAGTTTATGTAGAAACTTGTGAAACTCAGCTTCAACTTCATAAGGCTTCTTGGTAGCCTTTGCTTGGAGTCTAATCATGGAATAAAGAAAATCATTAATCAAATTAGTTTTTATACTAACACCAACTAAGAGCCAACATTTACAAAGAATTTAATATCCTGTCCACTTGCCAGCACTTTACAAATATTAATTCAATTACACTTACAATGATCTTTTTTTTTAATATTTTACTTATTTTTAGAGAGAGGGGAAGGGAAAGAGAAAGGGAGAGAAACATCAATGTGTGGTTGCCTCTCACACGCCCCCCACTGGGGGCCTGGTCTACAACCCAGGCATGTGCCCTGACTGGGAATTGAACCAGCATCTTTAGTTCACAAGCCCATGCTTAATCCACTCAGCTACATCAGCCAGGGCACACTTACAACAGTCTTTTGAAGTAGATACTGCTATTATCCTGTGTTATAAATGAGGAAACAGGCTCCAATAGGTTAAGTGACCTGCTCGCAGCCACACAGATAACAAGTAACAGGATTTAAACCCAAGCAGTGTGACTCGAGCCCTCAGTTCCAACCAGGGTGGGACACTGTCCCAGCTCTAAGTATCCTCTTCAGAGAGGTGGCTCACACAGTGCTCCCTTAACTGATCCCATGCAGCTGGTTCCATTCCAGCACAGACTGAGAAGTGTCGGTGGGGAGAGAGGAGTCACAAGGCCGAGCGAGAGACAGATCTGGGGGACAAGGGGAGACAGAGATGGGAAAGGCTAAGGGGCGAGGACGCTGACTGGCCTAAGCTCACTGAGAGTGGGAATCCAGGGGCCTCTCATGACGTCTGCCCCCAAGTACTCATTCAAGAAATTTATGCAGGAGATGAGTAGTTGAATTCAGGAGGCAACAGGAGCCTTCCGGAGGGATCTTCGAATGCGGAAAGCGGCAGAGGTAGCCCAATCAAGGAAGAATAGGAAAGGGAGAAACATCAGCAAGGGAAACACTGACGAGAGAAAGAAAACTGAAAAAAGGGTACAACGCCATTAATTTTACTGGCAATTTTCAAGTGAAACATTTAAAAATTATTTTTCCTCTCTGAAGTTTGTAGGAGGTGAAATTTTCTGAGAATCCAACTATACTCTGCTGAAGCATAAAGTCTGATGGCTGTGCCTGCAAGGCCTACCTCTCTCTTTGGCGTTCGGTCTGGGGGCCCCTGTAGGCACAGCGGGCTCCCTCACGGGGGTCACCAGCTTTAGCGCTCTGTGCCTGGTACATGTCCCCTCGCTCATTCTGTGCTTTATCTCTGCCAATTGTATCTTCTCAACCTGCGTTTTCCCCTCACTGCTTACCGCCCTCTAGATCTGTCTTTCCCTGCATTTCTCAAATGCTGTCTTACAGTTTAGGTCTCTTCCTTGCGGCCTTATTCACACACACTCCAAACTCCCCTCGGTGCCCTCTTTCAGTGACACTCTCCTCGAATCGCCTTGATTTGCAGGTCATCCTGAGACTCCTGTTCATCTCAGGTAAATTAGCATCAACCCATCTTCCAACTCACTCTTTTACTTTACAGACCCCCCTTTAAAAAAATAACAGCTTTATTGAGATATATCACATACCACAAATTTCACCCACTTGAAGTGTACAACCCAGTGGTTGTCAGTACGGTTGACCCTTGAACAACACTGGTTTGAACTGTGCAGACCTGCTTATACGCGGACTTTTTCCAATAAATACCTGTATTTATTTTTCGGGGACTGCATGCATTGATTTAGGCCATTTTATATATGGGACTTGAGCACCTGTGGATTTGGGTATCTGCGGGGGTCCTGGAACTGATCCCCTGTGTATGCTGAGGGACAACTTGAGTTTTGGGGAGTCAAGTTCTATGTGGACTTTTGACTCTGTGGGGTCAGCATTGTTCAAGGGTCAACTGTATGTTCACTTTTGTGACCATCACTACTCTCTGATCCATCTTTCTGATTGCCTTTCCTCTCCACAACTACCTCATTTGCAAAGATTACAGATAGAAACTTCCATGCTTGTGCCTATAAGCTTAACAGGCACACGGAATCTATACCATATCCAAAGGAGTATGTTTTCCTTTGCTTTCTCCAACGTGTTGTTGCATAAAATGCATCTGAGTGCTTCATCAATGCTGCTCTCAAAAACATTCCTTGTGTGTGGAGAAATCCTATCCAACATGAGCTGGTTTTGGGAACTTGTAAAAGTCACCTGGAATCAGATCTTACAATTGAGGTGTTGCAAAGCGCAAAGCTGCCTGACAAGTTTTGGTGAAAAGTGAGTTGAAATTCCCTCATGCGGCTGGGAGGCTGGCTTTCTAAAGTCCCAGTGCCGGGAAGAGTGGCAGCTGACTGGTACAGACCTGTGGTCTCCCTTGGGGCTGGTGTGAAGGCCTGTGCTCGTCTGATGCTCATTCTTGTACATGTACACGTGTTGGAAGTAGTTTAGACTCAATACTTTAGAGTTTTCCTTTTCAGACTCTAATTTATGAAATAAATACGTTAAATGAGCCCAATTTTCCTTGCTTCAGTGGAGGACAATGTTTGTGTGGATAGGGGAAGCAGCAGGGGCAGAAGGGGAAAAAAAGAGCTACACTGGGGCAGACCAGCTAAGTAGGTTGTTTTTCGAGCTTACATCATCCCTTAGAGCGTGGCAGGATGTCATGGGCTTGTTTTTAAAAGCCTTAAGTTCCAGTCCTAGGTTTGGTGGAGTAAAAGGAGATGATGATAATGTTCAGCAAGTAATCAAATTAGCCAAGTAGGTGATTATGTGGATAAAGAAAGTTAAATTGTTACTGCAGATGAACTGTTGAGTAGAAAGCCTCCTTGTAGATATTTGAGCTGCTGTACTTTTACCCAATAAAATCACTGTGGCTTTCTGTAACACATTTGTTCAACTGAAATGTTTTTCAGCACTGCAGAGTTGAATAAGAAACAAACCTATCAAGTTCCTTGTCAATTCTTTCCTGCCGCTGTCTTAGGAATTTTATTTCTTCATCAATTCTGAGCTTTTCCCTATAAGATCAAATGTTGGAGTTAAATTTTAAAATAAAGCAAACATTTTTAATTGTAAAGGAATAAATCAACATTTGCCGACTTTCCCGTGTCAGTAAGAGTCCTTTACAAACCGGTTGTTCCGAGTCCCCTCCCAATGCAGTACTTGGGGTTAGGGAAACCCACACATCCCCTCATAAACTCGTGCCGAAGGCATCACTCAGGAGTGTGGGCTGGACTGGCTGCTTCCACAGGGGCCTCTGACACGGTGCCCAGCCCCGCTCTTCCCACTGAGCACAGGCAATCTAAGGGCCCCCCTCTCTGTGTATGTGGGTGGGAGGGGAATGCAGACCCACAGGCAGCAGAAGCTCAGACTTCCCTCTGCCTGCTGGATAGGTCCTAGCTGGCTGCCTCTCAAACTACCTCTCTCTGGTGTGTTTCCTCAACAGCTCCAGATACCCATCCTTTCTCCTGGTTAAGGCACTAGAACCTCAAGGCAGGGACTTTGTTATCATAGAAGAATTGGATCCTGCCAATTTGTTCTTATAAAAATTGATGGACACCCTCTCATTAAGGCCTTTCTAGCTTCCTGGCACATAAGAATACCATGACTGGCCATGAGTAGTCATTTTAATTAAGTATGAAAATCTGAAAATGTTTCCTTAAGAAAACATTTCAGAAAAGACCTCCCTGCCTGGCTTTCTTCAAACCAATCCCAGCTGCCACCCCAGCTCTAGGGCCCTCCTTCTACGGAAGACGATGTCTCTGTTCTTCTTCCAGAGCCCACCCGTCTGCGTAAACGGACAGCAAGCCGATCTCTGATCGCTGGGGCTCTCTCTCGGCCTCTCCATGTTGGGGTGCATCCCCCTCCAATCACACCACAGTTACAGCTGCCCCTTTCCTTCAATCCCTGACACTTCGCATAGCTCCACAGTGACCAGGTGCATCCTTGACACTTTAATAACAAGAATCTCTGAGGTATAAGATGCTCAGAGGCGATTCTCCTCATCAGAAAAATAAGGAGCACAGTGTAGATGATTTCTAAGATCATTTCCAGTTCTAAAAGAGTCTATGATTTTGTATTTAGCAATAGTAAGGCATCAACTTACATCCTGAAATCCTTTTGATTCCTTTCGAATTGTCTCTTTGCCTCCTTTATAATATCACAGTAAGTTGGAGCAGGTGGTGTGATAGGTTATGGTTAAGGAAAGATTTCCAATTAGAAACATTTGGGAGAGATAAACAGTGTCCTTGATGGGGGGACCGAGGGGGTGGGGTCTGGCTGGGCTTCGTCATGAAGGGTCTCGAGTGTGACCATGAATGTGGAGTCTGCAGTTACACTGAGAGGACAGAAGCGAGACAACACTTGTCAGGCCACTTTAAATGTGTGTCCCATTATCTAGACCACACCATCCGCAGTATGTTAGGACAGCAGTCTCATAAATCCTGTAATTACCATTTTTAAAATGGTTTTATTGTTGGTGTGTTTTAAAAGCAGTAATTTGTTACATGTAAATATTTAAAATGTACCAAATTTTTGTAGCCCAGTTTAGACATTTCTTTATTTCTTTTGTAAAATTAAATTTATGGAGGTGCCGTGGGTTAATGCAGCTATATTAGGTTTCAGATGTGTCCTTCCGCTATACCTCTTCGGTACGTTGCAGTGTGTTCCCCACCCAAAGCCAGATTTCTTCCTTTCTGTATACACTGAGAACTCCAAAGTCCCCTGACCTCAGCGAGACTCTGGAGAAGAGGGCAGCACTCGTCTTGCGGCCTCAGGGAGCTGAGCTCTGCCCACCTGGGGAGAAAGACAGCGAAGACAGCAAAAGACATCGAGCAGAGCGTAAGGTGTAAGTGCGCTCGCTGTTCACGAGGCTGTTCCTCACCCGGCCTGTGGCTGCATCTCTAATCCTGATCTGAACCCATGTCTGTGTCTGGCAAAGCAGATACTGCTCCTCTGAAGCAGCAACCGGCAGATGACTCAAGGAGGCGGCCCTCCCCTGTGGCGAGACCCGAGGCTGTCGGTGAAGTCGGAGCTCTTCCCCATCTGCAGGCACCCAGACGCCGGACCCACTGTCCTCCTGCAGCCCTGCTTGCTGTTGTGAACCACACTTCAACTTACCTCCACTGTTCTCTGAATGCAGTTTGCTCACTTACAAACATTCATGGTCTGTCTCAAGGCTGTCCTAGACACTCATTTTAATCTTATCTGGTATAAGAGTGTTCGAGGAAGCCCAGAGGACTTTTCCTCACGTGTTCTACTTCCTCGACCTCAGAGCTTCCTTAAATGACGTTACTGGAATAAGTGCCCATATGAAGTGCAGTTTTTCTCTTGATGTGAATCAAATCCTAGTGGTAAAATTTCAAAGTGAAACTTCCTTAGGCTGGATCCACGTTACTTTCAAACTCTGGCTTTGAGACTTCTTCCTGCATAAGAAATATGTTGGTATTCAGTGAGCACCAATGTTAAGGATACATCGGCCCTCACCTCTGGAAGGGAAGTAGTGGAAGCCTCACTCTGAATAATTAAAGCAGAGAAAAACTAAATCGTACAGAATCTACTCATTTTGACAAATGTTTCAGCAAGACCTAAAAATATCATTGTAAGAATCTTTTAGCAGCATTACTGTAATCAAAAGAAAAATTCTCCTACAATCCCTTTCCAACAAATGAAACTATTTTTGGGTTCCAATGTGTCTCTCCATCTGCCATATAAAACATATTTTACCCTATTGTTACGGTGTGGTTGCTTTCTTCACCCAATATAGTATCATAATTTCCCCCAATACATCTCGGTTTTATACTGTTAATGTTTGTAAAAGATTTCATTGGCTGTACATACCAGGGGGGCTCTATTGCCAGGATTTTCATTAACATGGTGCAGACATGGCTGGGTTTTTTACATGAAGCCCTCTATCTCTCCTCCCTCTCCAGTTATGTGTTCCAATATGACTCCTCCCCCTGCATCCTAAGTCTAGCAAGGGAGGACTCTTTCTCTCCTTACTCAGGTTCCTCTGACTTCTGGACAAAGAGAGCCCAGGTCTTTCTTAGCTTCAGACTAGTATGATGGACATGGTGAAAAAAGAAGCAGTGGTCCTGTTTATTCCAGAAGCAAGAAGCCTGCAGTCTCAGTTATGCCTGATAACCATCTTAGCTTTTCTCCCTACGAGTCATGGACCATGAAGAGGCCCAGCCACATCAGAAGGCTCATGTTTTCCTCAAACTAGTGATACTTATAGGTATTTGGTTACTTGTAATGCCTGCCTTACCCCTTTGCTGCATAAAGTGACTGAAAGTCTAAGATCTCTGAGTAAAAGTCACAAACAGTTGACTACCACTCTTGTTGAATGCTTAGCATGACTAATGATACACTTTTTCTAAATTTGCATGCAGCTATTTACTGCTAATATCTCATTTCTCCCGCAAGTGCCTGTTAGAGTTTCAAAGTCTTTATCCTTCTACAAAGTTATATTGTGCTCTTGAGTATGGTTTTCATAATGAGGTATTTGTGAGCAGGATGAACTAATTGGATTTTCTTTGCATTGCACATTCATTATATATTTACCATTGGCATTGAGATGAAGAATTATGTTCCATTCTAAATGATTAATTTTGAACATATGTCATTATTGAAGTGAACTGGGTATACATTCTATATAAAGTCATTCTCATTGTCCACAGAATTTGGTCACGGCTGTACGTTTGTTTTGTGTGACGAGGCTCTGAGCTGTGTGATGTTGGTGCTGACTAAGGCCTCTGTATTTTCTTGCATTATTTAATGGTGATGGTTTTCAGTAGAATTCTGTTAATGTTTGTTAACAAATCTCCTAATTTTTATTTTCTTCAGACACTAAAGCCATCGATTTATCCCAACTGTAGAAAAATAGAGCACTCAAAGCTATGATGAAATGCTGTATTCTGTTCCTTGGGGGTGACTGTGGCAACATGTTTTACAATTCTGTTGTTTGAATTGAATTCACACTCATTTTCTCATGCACTGCTCTGTGCAGGTTGCAGGCAAGCCACTAAATAGATAAGGAGCTTTTTGGGTACAAAAAAAATAGTCCTACTCTGGGACTTCACAACAGTTGTGGTTGAGATGTGACAAGCCAAGACCTGGAGACACCCCAGTGGCCTCAATTCAGACTCTGGCGTCTTTGATCTTCGTTTAGAATCCCAGAGTATTAGGGAAACAAGGAGTCTTACAGATCATAGGGTCCAATTTGATTATATCATTGATGAAGAAACTGAGGCTTCTGGAAGGGAAGTACCTCGTCTCTGAGAGCTGGGGTGTGGGATTCAGGAAAAGAGCATACCAGGGTGAATTTGCTCCTACCTGCCTAAAGTACCATTCTAGAATGAGGCTGCAGGGAGCTTTGCTGTCTACTTTGTATCTCTTAGAGATATTTCAAGGAGTATCCTCAGAGTTGCTCACAAGAACGCCAGGTTTAAGGCCAAAGTACCCATTCCACACAAAATGCTACTGTATAAGAAGTAAAAGGAACCTAAGCTTCACTCAGTGGCCAGAATCTCCTTCTTTATACGCTGATTTTTCATTTAATTCTTAATCATAAAAACAAAATTCTTGAAATAACTTATTTGCATGTGGAACAAACTGATTTAGAGACATTATATTCTGCTTAATGTTTACCTTTACTTACACTTCAAATAGTTTCATGTTAGCTTTGCAGGAGCATCAAACATCCATGACACAGCCATGCATCCAAAACTTAAAAAGAGACCATCACTCAGGAAACATAATAAGTCTTGTCCTATGAGAGATAGTTCCACTGTTGGAATCTTACCCAGACTCTAAAAGGCCTGGTGTTATCTGTAAATAGAGTTACTGTTTTTGGAAGTTTTGCTATTTAACACATCATTAGTGACAGTTTCATAACATAGTTTAGAAAATTGAAGGAACAGGTCTACCGGAAATATTTGTAAATTGCTTTTATTTTATTTATTTATTTTTAGAGAAAGAGGAAGGGAGAAAAAAAGACAGAGAGAGAAACATTGTTTGGTTGAGTCATGCATGCCCCTCACTAGGGACCTGGCCCGCAACCCAGGCATGTGCCCTGACTGGGAATCGAATCAGCGACCCTTCCGTTCCCAGGCGGATGCTGGATCCACTGAGCCAACCGTCTAGGGCAGGCTAGTGAAATTATCAACACAGATCTAACTGGAAGTACTCTGCAAACGCGCCAGGACTTTTACTAGGCATTGAGACACACAGATGACTAAGACATGGTGTTTGGCTTCAAGGAGTTTGTAGGAATGAGAAAAGAGAACAGACAATTTTTGAAGTAGGAGAAAGAAAAATTATTTTAAAAATGGGAATAAAGACTATAAAAGTCTGGCAGTCTGTTTTCCTTTAGTGCAGGACTGTCTAAAATTGGAGAAGGGCGCCCCTCGGTGCTACCGGGCCACCTTATGTAGGATTCAGTCCCTGAGGACGCCCCTCCTGTCTGGGCTGGGCCCCTTCCCGCCAGTGCCAGGGCTGGCAGGGCGGGTGGCAGGCACTTGCGGAGTGTTTCCTGCCCGCGTCTCCTGAACACGCCTTCTCATTGACGTCGCTGTGTAGCTGAGCCACAGATTTCACGCTGAGAAGCCTAGTCATCATCGTAACATTACTTTTTGCTATATTGTTTAAGAAGTCAGAGAAGCATGGCATATACCTTCAGGGAAATTTTTCATTAAAATGGTTCACAAAGAGTTTTGCTGCTGCAAATGGTTGGCTCCAGTTCTCTGGAAAGTTTAGTCATGGGCGACAGTTCACTCCCTGATAAAGGCCTGATAAACAAATCGTTGATTTATAGAGATTTCACCATTTTTGTAATTCATGTCCTTCGACACACGCAGCTCCAAGGGCTGCTTGGAGGGACTTCAGTCATCTACATTATTCCCAACAGCCCCTCGTCCCCCCACAGAGCTGTTTGAATAAACACATACTCTTTGGGTTTGCTTTGCAGATACAGGGTTGGGACAAGTCCCCTAGTCTCCTGCTTGTAACTGGATTGAACATATAAGCCCTTCTTCTGAAGACAGGAATTCTTGACCCCTTGCCTCCCCGAGACTGACCACATTGGAATATTAGTCACAAAACCACGAGTGTATGTGAGTTGACTGCCTAAAGGAGCCAGTTTGGTTTTTCCTTAAACATACAGAATGTCAGCTGTAAGCGAGGG